TCATCTTGTTCTGTAAGGATTACCTGATATTTCATCATTCTGCTGGGGATAACCAATACCCCCCTTTTTGTTCCAGCACTGTAACAGCCATATGTGGAACACAAACCGTAAGGATTCTTCCCAAGGTGAGCTTTCTGGCTTCTTGTATCAGTATTCCTGTTGCCTCTACTGCCCACCGGCAGGAAGGCCATCCTTCACTCACCATGTCCAGTTCTTTAGAAAAGTACCCCACAGGTCTCTTCCAGCTTCCCATCTTCTGGGTCAGGGCTCCCAGGGCAAGGTGCTGTCATTCATGGACAAACTGGAAGTCTTTAGTTAAATCAGGTAATACTAGAGCTGGTGCTGACATTAGAGCTTGTTTAAGTTTTTGAAAGGCCTCTTCTTATTGTCAGCCCCACATGAAAGGAACAGACCTCTGGGCCTCATATAATGGTTTGGCTATCAAGCCAATATTCATAATCCAGAGATGGCACCACCCAGCCATTCTCAAAAATGGTCTTATTTCATGCAGAGTTCAGGGCTAAGGAATGGCACCAATTTTTTCCTTTCGGTTAGTCCCCAACTTCCTCTGTCCCTCTGAAATCTCAAAGCCTAAATATATTACAGTTTGGCTTGCTATTTGGGCTTTCTTCTCAGACACCTTATATCCATTAAGTCCCCAAAATTTTAAGAGTTCAATGGTTACCTGAATATAGGTCGACTTTTCTTCAGTATCTACTAAAATGTCATCCATGTACTGTAAGAGCAAGTGTTCTGCTCACGGGGTCACTGTCTTTTTCCTTTGTCCAGATCTCCAATTCCTTTGCTAGCTGGCTATCGAAGATTATTGGACTGTTCTTAAATCCTTAGGGTAGTCGTGTCCACATCAATTGTATTTTACACCCTGTTTGTGGGCTCTCCCACTCAAAACCAAACAGTTTACAACTTTTCTGTTCCAGGGGTATGCAAAAGAAAGCGTCTTTCAAATCAAGCACTGTAAACCACTGATATGTTTCTTTAAGGGCAGTCAGTAAGGTATACTGGATTTGCCACTACCGGGTGGATGTCTTTCACAATTTGATTTATAGCTCTCAAGTCCTCTATCAATCTATACTCACCCATGGGCTTCTGTACTGGTAAAATAAGGGTATTATATTCTGACTCACACTCTTCTAAAATCTTATATTCAAGAAGTTATCAATCAGCTTCCTAATTCTCTGTTCTTTGATCTTAAAAGGTTCCTGAACCATTTTATCCTTTATCATGAGAGACATCACTGGATTAATCAGCCCACATTCTTTTGACCAACTCCGATGTTGTCTGAGCTGTGTGACCATGCCAGGGGAGGACACGCTCTAGTGGGTGTGTGGGACAGAGCCCAGTCTCCTGGAAGGGAGCCGAGACGTGCAGGTGCAGGAGAGAGGATGACAGTTTGTGCCCATGGGCAGACCGTAAAGGTGTCCCATGGCATTATCACCCACCAGCCTCTCTCATCAGCCATTTCCAGCTCTGGCCAGTTGATCCAGTTTATGGGTGTTTTTGCTCTGTGGCCATCTCCTTCCTCCTGCTGGTCCTGGTGCCTGTGGCGGGGGAAGAGCCAGCCCTGCCCCAGCCTCTCTTCTTGCCCAGACCTTGGCAGACCCCAGAGCAGGGCTGTCTGTGAACCCTTGTGCGGGACACGGTTGGGGCTTGGGAAGGAATGGGAAATGGGTGAGTTGCAAAAGCATGATGGCTGGTAGGGATGGATGATGAGATCTTGGCTAGGGGATCCCGTGGGGGATGTTTCCTCACTCCAAATACACCCTGTCCTGTGCAGTGTCAGTTGAGGGGGGACTGTGGGGGCATGTGTTGAGCAGTGGGGCTGCACTGGTGCAGGGATGGGTCACGGGTGGGAGCCACAGCCCAATGTTCAAGAAGTGGAAGCAAGGACAGGCAATGAAGGATAAATTTAGAAATAAGTCCTGAGCGTGAGGGTATGTTTAGGAAATCCAAAGCTCCCCTGGAGCTGAGGGCGGCTGCAGGCAACATCCAGAGCAAAATGAAGAGCTTCAGTCCCTGCACTTGCAGTAAAAGGCTGAAAAAGGCACATGCCAGTTGCTGATGAATGGGGAGGGGGTTTCATAGCAGCAGAGACAGGTGGGGATGAGCGAGACAACACCTTCCTTGCTTTAGGCTTTACTAACCAGTTCTCCCAAGTCTCTGCTCAGTGACAGGCCTCCCCTTGACAGGCTTCCTCAGCCTGGAGAAGGGATGGCTGAGGGGCACAGCATAGCAAAGGGGGCCTCACCTTCCTCCCCATGAGGCTAGCCAAGCCTTGGAACAAGCAATGGCCACCCTGAGAGGCTGTGAAGTCCTCCATCCCTGCAAGTTTTTGAGACCTGTATTGACCAAGTTCTAGGAAGCCAAGTCTCACCATATACCTGACCCTACTTTGAGCAGAGGGGTTTCCCATACACCTCCCGAGGTCTATGCTGAGCCTCAGTGATCTTATCCTATGATGTCCTGTCTGACATCTGATCAGCTGATGACACAACAGATGTTTATGGGGCCCGGATTCTCCTGTGTTTACGTGACCAGTGAAGGCAAGTCAGGTGAACGTCTCCTCCACTCCACTGACTGCAAGGGGAGCCTGGACCCACTGCCTCAGGCAGCTCTACGTTATCACTGAAGCTCACTGCATCCAACTTTAACACCCTCAAAGGCCATGGTCTGCACCCCGAAGCTCCTACACGTAGGGTTTGGGAATCAGGGAAGCTGAATGACACCTCTGACTTACATACAATCACAGTGTTCATGGACAGCAAGGAGTTTCTGGTGTATTCCCAGTTCATGTGAACTCCAATCGCAAACGGGATTTGTCTCCCTTTGTTTCAGACAACCGCTGTTTAGGTGTCTGTCCACTCTTGCTCATACAGGCTCTTCTTCCAGTTGACAGTGGGACTTCAACCTCCTCCACTGTGATTCACCCTCACAGCACTTTTAAATCACTTGGTTCCTTTGCTGTCTTGGCCTCCGGGAACCTGATCAGCCCTCACACAGCCTGGGTATTGGCTCACTCCTGGGCACTTCTCTCCGGGTGAGCCCCCTCCGAGGTGAAGTCCCAGGTGTGGTTCTGAGGTGACATGCTACTCGGTGCCAGGTCTGCTCCAGAGGAGATAGGGCTGAGCACGGTGTCCCTGAGCATGGCCTGCCCTCCTGCCTGCTGCAGCTGGTTGGGTGGCTGTAACAGAGGGTTCCTCAGAGCCAGCACCCAGACAGGTCCCTGGCACCTGCCCCAGCCCTCCCTTTTCTGGCACAGGCAGTCGATGACTGGCTAGGGCTGGACTCTGACACTCACGCACAATGCAGAACTGAATGAGAATGTGAATGCTGAGGACAGACATGGCTGCAGTGACCATGGCAGGGGAAAAAGACAAGCAGCAGAATCACAGCCTTGCACTGCAGCACAGCACATTCACAGGGTTGAGCATCTGCTTGGTGGGATCCCGGAGAGCCAAGATCCATGGAGCCAAAGATCTTGGATCTTTGTCGACAACAACATCAAAGCCAAGAAACACATCAGTCTGATGTGCTGGGAGCTGAGCAGGGCCTTGTTGGAGCATAGTAGGGTTGGGCAGGGATTTTCTGGCTGAAGAGATCAAACACCAGAAGGCATTGCACAAGGGTGGAAGAGGGAACAGGTTGTCCAAGAGACAGATACAGAGATGGCCTTGGGGCACAGGGGTGGAGGCAGGAATGCCAAAGCTCAGCCAGAGCTGGAATTAGCAAGGAATGGGGATAGCAAGCAGAAGGCTTTCTCTGAATTCACTGGCAGAACAAGGAGTCAGCTTAGGAAAATAGAGTCTCATGGCTCAGTGGGGCAGCATGTGTTGTGGCAAAGACCTAGAAAATGCTGAAGAAATCCTTGTTTTCCCATCTTCTTCTCCCTGTAAGATCTGCCACCATGACCTCCCTGGTCCCAACATCTGTGCTAGCAGGGCTGCCCCCATGGCAGAGGAAGATGTGCCTGGGGAGCACTTACAGTACTTGGGCACACACAGGTTCCATGGGACCAGAGGGAATGTGCCCAAGGGTGCTGGGAGAGCTGGCTGGTGTCATTGCAAGGCTGCTCCTGGTCACTTTTGAAATGTCAGGGTAAACAGGGAGTTCTCTGGTGACTGGGCAAAGGCAGGCAGTGCACCCATTTTCATGCAGGGCAAGAACAAGCATCCATGGAACCACAGGCTGGTCAGACACATCTCAGTCCCTGGGAAGGTGATGGAGCAAATTCATTCAAGTAGTTCCTTTGCCCACATTCATCAGCTGTTGCTCTCTGAGATGCCCTGGGGTAGCTGAAGTACCCATGGGGCACTTGGAAGGGTGACCCAGGACATATGGGATCCCTTCCGGAACATTCTCCAGTCATCAGGAAAAGGATCTCCAGAAACCTCTATTGAGACAACTCCTGTCTCTGCATTGAGTAGAAAGGGAGGTCTAGGAAACTTAATTTGACATAGACATCTGCACGGAGGTGTCTGATGTTGGGGGAGACAAGTTTCCTAATTTTCTTCACTTAAAAAGGAGTCACTCTACAGTTACCCTTGTGGGAAATAAAAAGGGAGTGTTCATGGATGATCCAGAGACCCCTTTGAGTAGACACAGATGTGTTGAGACAAGTGCAAATCTGCCACCCAATCCCAAGGTGTTTCACTGAGGTCTGTCACCCAGCTCCCCTGTATCAGGTGAGAAGACCTGCCACCTTAGTGGGTGACCCTCTATGTGCAGAGAGTGAGTCGTGGCCTGGATGCTTTTGGGTGGGGAGCGGTTTTAGTGTGCTGGGATCTCTGCAAGACAGAAAAATATCTTTATTTTATACTGCAGGCCTGAGTATGACAGAAATATCTAGAAGCTGTCAATAAAATGAATCAAAGAAGAAATTAGAAAACAGTCTCACTCCAAGGGCAGTGCTGCGGTACAACACATCACTCAGAAAGAGTCTGGATCAGCCCAAGGCTTTGTGTTTCAAGCAAGAGCCAGGGAGGATGGCGAGAGATCAGGAAATGAAGGAAGAGGCTCAGGTGGGAGAGAGGTGAGACAGCTGGGAGGATGAGGACAGCCTGCAGGGAAAGAGGCGCAGGGAATGCAACCACATAGGACAGCCTGTGGTGGAGATGACAGAGGGCTGTGGGAAAGCTGAAAACCCCCAAAAAAGTCAACCCCATCAAGATTTTGGCTATGGCTGTTGTCTCTGCCACTGATGCCTGTGAGGAGGCACAGTCCCTTGCAGCACGGGGGCCTCATGGCCCCCTTGTGCATCCTCAGGGCCCTGGGAGGTGCACATCTCCATACCCCCTACCCCAGGAAGAGCCCTGAGGAATGTGGGAGGGACAGGATCTTCCTTCCCAGGGGCTGGGGATCATGGCTTGGCCATTTGGTTAATGGGCACAGGGCCTGGCCCTTTGCCTTAATGCAAGACATTAGGTTTACTCAACATCAGAGACACCTTTCCCTTGCTTTTCCTGACCTGTCATCACTGCCTCCAGATTTCTGCTTTAACGGGACCCTGAGGAGGCTTTGTAAACTGTGTTCCTCAGTGGGACCCATTAAAACCACAAGAAACTTAAGAGTTTCAGTTTGACTTCTTCGGAGGTTTCTTTGGCTTCTCTCTGTGCCTGAGGTTGATGGACTTGGCACCAACCCCTCCTGAGGGGTCATTAAACTGCCTTGTGCTGTTGCTGTGGTGCTGAGCTGGGCCGGGCTCCTGTGCTGGAGGGAGCTCCTGGCAAGTGGGCAGCGCTGCAGAGAGACAGCTCTGCCCAGGAGCAGCTCCTCTGCAAAGCGCAGCAGGGCTGAGGGCACTGCCTGCAGGCACCCAGGGCAGAGCAGCGAGGCACACACAGCTTCAAGGCAGCCTGGGCTGGGAGGCTGCCGAGAGCTCCAAGGAGGAGCAAACGTCAGGGCCCTGGCCACAGTAAGTCTGGGGGTGCAGGGCAATGCAGCTGCAGCTCGGGGAGGGATCTGGGGAAGATGGCAGAGCCGCCAGGAATCTGCCTCCTGCCTAGAGGAGGAGGAGGAGGACGACGACGATGAGGAGGTGCTCCCGAGCAGGGCTTCCCTGGTGCCCCCTGCGAGGGCCAGGGCATGAGGGCTGCCTTCTGGCGGGGCTGGCTGCAGGGGTGTGCAGCTGGGTGTGCAGGCAGGGGTGCCCAGGGCTGTCCTTCCCAGAAGGGTCCCTGCACCCCAGGGGCTGTGTGCGGGGGCAGGGACTCTGCCACCTGCCAATGTCAGCACTCAGCCTGCCCGGGGAGCTCCCCACGGCACTGTGGGGAGAAGCTGTGGGGGGAAGGAGAGACCCCCGCCAGGGAAGGCTCCTTCTGCTCTCCAGAGGCTGCTGCTTCTTGGATCAGGGATGCTCACAGCTCCAGATCAGCACCAAGACACTGAGAGAGGCAGCTTTTTAAAGGGAAATTAAAGGCAGGACCTACCTAAAAGATGGGGACATTTCCAGGGTCTGTGATTTCAGCTTTCTTCTAAGGGAAAGGGGCTGTCAACTTTGAATAAGGCACTGACACTCCAGAACCACTATACTATGTGATCAACAGAACTGCCAGAAACCTCATAAAGTGCCTTCACCCGTTCCTATACCTACAACAGCACCAGTATCTCCTTTGCTTGGAGAATCGATGCTTATCTCATCTACTCCTTAGGACTTGTACACACAGATCTGCCCCTGGGCAGTGTCCTGATGCCAGGAGGGATCTGCAGGGAAGAGCTGAGCACACGGGGGGGGGGGGGGGGGGGGGAGGGGCTGGAAGCACTGACAAGAAAGTGACATCAGGACAGAGAAGTGGCTCTTGGCAGGCACAGCTCCAGGCAGCAGACAGTCAGATAAACCCCCTTCATTCTCCTGACTCTGCACTAGGGAACAGGGACTGTTTTTGTGTGTCAGGGCTGCTCTGTGTTCAGTCTGAGAATGATGTAAAAGATGAGGATTTCTGCACATTCATAGCATGTGCCTTCAGCACCAGCAGAAACCTGAGCTCACCCAAATGGATTGAATGAATTTCCCCTCAAAGAACAAGAAATAAGTTTGAGGGGACTTTTTGGGAAATAGCATAAGATTCAGTAAAAGAAATCTGTCCTAAATTTTCAATGTCTTCTCTTTCAATGCCCTTGCCTGGAGTGAACAAATGTCCAACAGCGGCTCCATCACCAAATTTCTCCTCTTGGCATTCACAGACACACGGGAGCTGCAGCTCTTGCACTTCTGGCTCTTCCTGGGCATCTAACTGGCTGCCCTCCTGGGCAACGGCCTCATCATCACCGCCATCGCCTGTGACCACCACCTCCACACCCCCACGTACTTCTTCCTCCTCAACCTCTCTCTCTTCGACCTGGGCTCCATCTCCACCACTGTTCCCAAAGCCATGGCCAATGCCCTCTGGGGCACCAGAGACATCTCCTACTTGGGATGTGCTTCACAGGTATTTCTGTTTGTCTTTTTCATTTCAGCAGAGTTTTATATTCTTACCGTCATGGCCTATGACCGCTACGTTGCCATATGAAAACCCCTGCACTACGGGACCCTCCGGGGCAGCAGAACTTGTGTCCACATGGCAGCAGCTCCCTGGGGCACTGGGCTGCTCAATTCTCTCCTACACACTGCCACCACATTTTCCCTACCACTCTGCCAAGGTAATGCTGTGGACCAGTTCTTCTGTGAAATCCCCCAGATCCTCAAGCTTTCCTGCTCTTACTCTTACCTCAGGAAGTTGCGATAATTGTGGTTACTGCCTGCTTATTTTTGTATTGTTTTATTTTCATCATGCTGTCCTATGTGCAGATCTTCAGGGCCGTGCTGAGGATCCCCTCTGAGCAGGGACGGCACAAAGCCTTTTCCACGTGCCTCCCTCATGTGTCAGTCATCTCCCTTTATTTCAGCACTGCCATGTTTGCCTACCTGAAGCCCTCCTCCATTTTCTCCTCATCCCTGGTCCTGGTGGTGTCATTTCTGTACTCAGTGGTGCCTCCAGCAGTGAACCCCCTCATCTACAGCATGAGGAACGAGGACATCAAGGATGCCCTGAGGAAAGTATATGAATACATATTATTCCAGCATTAATAATTTGACCACCATCGTCATATAATTCCCAGGAATTCAGTAAAATCTCATCCTATCTTTTGTTCTTCTAAATCATTATTTTCTATTTGTTTGTTAAACATAATATTAACTGTAATTATGTTTTACTCACACAACTTCTTCTTAGGCTTAGAACTGTTTTTTTTTTCTATTAAACCTAATGTACATACGGAAGCAGACTCTTTGCATAGCCAGAACACAATCATATGCCTCCCCTCTCATGTCTCAGCTCTCCTCTGGAGCTTGGGGCCCAGCCCCAGCAGGCAGAAGGGCTTCAGGAGCCCAGGGCCCAGCTGCCCCATGGAGGAGCAGCCCCAGTGGCCCTCGGGGCTGTCCCTTGCTGCCTCAGTGGGCACTGCCTCTCTGCTGCCTGGCAGTTGGGCTGCTGCTTCCCTGGATCCACGGCCAAGGACAGCAGCAGCACGTGGTCTTTGCAGTGCTGGGGTCTCCTCACTTCTACACCATCCCGCTGTGCCCTGGCAGTTGTGTCACCACCAAGCTCCTGTGTAGCTTTTGACAGTCCCCATGTGTCCACAGTGGCATCCCTGTGGCTGCAGGCAGGAGCAGGCCATGGGAAGCACGGTGTCAGAGCTGACCTCCATGCCAGTACCCCCATAACCAAAGGGGCTCCTCAGGGCAGGGCCAGAAGGCTGGAATCCTCTTCCAAATCTGGTGTTGGGAATACACCCAAGGAGCTGCTCCTTCAAAAGGACTTCTCCTCTTCTGAGGTGCTTGATGACTTCCGGGAGATAAACTCAGTGTCCCAAGGTTACCTGTTAGGGACCAAGTGGTGGACAAAACCTCCCTCCTTGATTACATATGTCCATGCATACAGGAACTGGTCTTTGATTTTTTGACAACAACCTTCCTGTTGCTATCCCAGCTACAAGGGCTAATGGCTGATGCCATCCTGGAGAGGTACTAGGAGTTTCCAGGAAAGCTTAAGTGATCTCCAGGAACGATGTGTGAGTGTGCATGGGCAGTGAGTGGTACCTTCTCCAGTGAGTAACCATCCAAGGAGGAGTCTCCTGGAGGAAAATGTGAACCTGTGGACACCATGGGCTAACAAGGGCCTTGCAATTCCAGGAGAATTTGTGAGGAGCCGGGAGGCAAAGGGACACCAGACTGGAGAGTGGTTCAAGATACCCTCTTGGAAATCCCTTGGGCTGGATTGAGTGCAGCCCTCCCTTGACTTTTGTGCCATTGGGCACATGTCATGGTCCTGCCCAGTCCCGTCCTTGGCCCTTGAGCCATCAAGGGAAGATGGAAAGGGCCTCAGCAGGAGTGAATAGTGTCTGTCTGGGTCTGTTTTGCACTGCCAACTGCACAGCCAGTGGAGGGTCACCCGGTGTCCCCAGGGCACCATAGTCCTCTTGCTCTGCAGAGCAGCACCGCCATCTTGGGGCCCTGCAGGGAGCACAGGGAGGGAGCCAGGAATGGCTGGGCAGGACAGCATGGACATGGTCATGTGGAGGAAGGCTCTGTCCCAATCCGATATCGGGGATGTCCCGATTTGATATCAGGGAGGGTTCTTAAACGATCCCAAGAGCGAGATTAAGACACAAACGAGGTCAGATGCCGGGCAACCTTGTGATCTTTATTAAACAAACGGCTGGTAAGAGCGATAGGACAGGGAGAAAGAGGAAGAGGAAGTCAGAATCCCTAAACTAGAAAACGGTAGAGATGCGGCAAGATTAATCACCACCACCACGAGCCCGCGATGTCCCGTTGGCTCAGTCTCGGTGCAATCGATGATGGTCCAAGCTCCAAGCTCCGCCGAAGTCCACAAGAGAGACGTTTTGGGAGCCCACACATGCACACACATACACACGCGCACACAAAACGCCCGCACGCAAAACGCCCGCACACAAAAAACGCCCCTCAGTACAGAGTACGCAGTCCTTTTATCGCCTTAGTCCCCACGATTTCCTGGAAAAGTCTGCCCATTT